CTCAGCAGCTTGACATGACCGAGATGCAGTCTCTTATAGCACTGAAGTCAGAAATGAGTCTTGAGGGCCACAATGAAGATGTTCGCAGGGCAGTGCTCCCCTGGGAGACTCCAGGGATGCATTTGTCTCCCCCCTCCATTCCCATATTCCTGCGTGCTTGGCCTGATGCCATCTGTGGAGCCAGCCATCTCTGAACCTGTTTTCTACTGCTCTGTCTCTACCATCAGTAGCTCCCTAACATGGTCCAAGATGGTGGCCACCATAGGCTGTACTTTCTAGCCTGGGGTGGGGCAGGCAGCCCCAGCCAGATGTGTACAGTCATGTTCTGTGATGCTCACACAGCGGTGAAACAGCAGAATAGATTCACATCATCCAGTGCCACAGCTGTACTCAAATGTCCTTGTGCCTCCCCCTGACAAGGACCCTTCCGGCTACCTTAGGGCCCATGGAGGTCATCAGATAATGTCCCCATCTCATGATCTTTGACTTAAATCACATCTGCAAGATCCTTTTTAACATAAGGTAATGTGCATGGGTTCTGGGGCTCAGGACTTGGCTATCTTTTTTTTTTTTAAAGATTTATTTATTTATGCATACAGAACTGTGGGGTACAGGCCAGAGATGCGGAGGGTGAGAGGATTCACCAGGGACAGAGTGGGGAGCAGAACAGGCAGATCGACAAAGTACACTGTTGAGGGGAGCAGCGGGCGGGTCAGGAGAGGTCTGCCACGCCATGTGGATCTCCTCCCGGGCATGCGGGGATCGAACTCATGCGGAAGTGGCTTAGGCTTCTTAGTGCTGTGCTTTAACACGCTGCGCCACCAGGGAGGGCCTGGACTTGGCTATCTTTAGGGACCACCCTTTAACCAACCACACCCTTCAACCTCAGTTTCCTCAACTGTAAAATGGGATACTGTGAGGTTTCACCAAATTATATTACAGGTGAAGTGCCTGGGAATGGGCCTGAAGAGCATGGAGCTCTGAGTATGACTTAGAGCCATAGTGTTTCAGTTAAAGTCTCTTCAATCCTCAGTTTCTTTGGCTAGAAAAGGGGGGAGAGTGGTGTGGATTCAGAGTTGTCCCAGGGCTTCTACTCCTATAGTGATTCTTTCACTAGCTCCCTTTTCCACAGGGGACATCCCCACTGGGACAGCCAGGGTTGCAGGAAGACATCCCACATGGAGGCAGGAAAGGGAAAGTCACATGACTGCTGCCTGTTAGCGCTATAGGTCATAGAGGAAATGGCCACACTCTGTCCTTACCAACAGACAGGCTAGAATGGGGGCATTCTTCAGCAGGTGGGGGTCCCAGCATGTACTCTCACACACACACACACACACACACACACACACAGACTGTCCCTTGGTCTCTGCTCTCCTTTCTTTGAATGCAGTTGGGCCATTCTCTACAACTTCCTCTATCAATCTCTCTCTCTGCTCAGCCCCCTCCATTTGTCCTCCTAATCCTCTTTTTCTCTGCCCACCTCCTGTCCCTCTATTTCTCACTGTTTCTGTCCTTGTCTCTCAGTTATCATTTTCTCCATCTCTAGCTCTCTCCCTCTTCTGATTTCCCTGAGTCAGTGTGTCTGTGATCCTTCCTTCCTCACTCTCCTTTCCTATCCCCACCTCTAACTCTAGCTCTCTTCCCATTTCTATCTTCTCCTCAGGCCAGGAAGGCCTGAAACCGAAACCCAAAACCCAAACCCTAGGGATTCCCCCAGGGAGTCAGGAGCCAGAGGGCTGGCAAGGCCCAGGTGAGTCACAGGAGGGAGGAGCTGCATTCCTACCTGCCACTTTCTGAAATTGTGTTCTATCAAGCACCCTGATTGCCCCCTTCAGAAAGAAACATGTCACTGGACCTCCCTGGGGTGTGTCACTTGAAGGAGACAGAGAGAATAAGTCAGAGAGAGAATGAAACAAGAGATTCAGAGGGGAGTGACGGAGATTTGGGGAAACCAGAGCAAGCTCAAGTGGGGCTGGAAGGCTTGTGGTATTCCCATTCTTTGAGTAAAGGAAGAACTTAGGGTTTAGAGTAGTGAGGTCATCCTGCCAGGAAATGGTGGTGCCTGACCACACTACTCTGTCACCCCCAGACGCAAGCCTTCCTTCTATTGACAGATGCCTCTCCTGACCCTGGACCCTTTTCATAGCTGAGAAAAACCACACTCTGGACAATGAGGCCACTGGCCAGGGTCACTCAGTAGCAAATGGTTGACTCCATCTCAAGCCTGCATGGACCAACACCCCAACTTTCTGATAACCCAGCTCATATGCATCAATATCTCTACCAGTCTGCCCACTCTCTCTGCCCACCTCCTGTGATTTCTCTCATTTGCTTTACCACCTTCCTAAAAGGGGCCTCCTTTTCTTTTCTTTTTTTTTTTAAAGATTTATTTATTTGTGCATACAGAACTGGGGTACAGGCCAGAGGCTCAGGGGCGGCGAGAGGCTTCACCAGAGACAGATCGATGAAGTACACTGCTGAGGGGAGCAGCGGGCGGACCAGGAGAGGTCTGCCACACCATGTGGTCACCTCCAGGGCAGGCGGGAATCGAACTCATGCGGAAGCGGCTTTAGATTCTCAGTGCTGTGCTTTAACCCGCTGGGCCACCAGGGAGGGCCCAGGACCCCGTTTTCCACATGAAGACACAGAAGCTGGGAAAGGTGGCTCTGTGTTGGCTCAAGGTGACCCAGCATGGGAGTGTTCCAGTCCAGCAGATGTCAGTATGGCCACAGCTGGCCTCAGACCCATGACATGGCTTCTCCTTCCTTGCTGTCCCACCAAGAGGAAATAGAGTCAGTCATGACCGCAACAATAAGAGAAGTTCATTTTTTCTTGAGCACTTTAAATAGGTGCCAGCCACTGCAACCAGCACCCTGGGTGGGAACATACCAGCCTTGGAACAGAGGCAATGATTAGCTCTATTCTCCAGATAAGGGCTTATAGCAAAGAATGGCTAAGTAACCTACCTAAGGCCACACAGCAAGTGAGTAACTGGGGCAGGACCCTCATTTTTGTGCCACCCCCTATAATTTTAACGAGTATAGTTATACAGGTACACGTTGCTTAACAACATTTTGGTCCCAATAGGTGATAGGTTGTGCCAGCTAGCCTGGGTGTGAGGCAGGCTCCATCATCTAGGTTGCTGTGATCACACTGTGTGACATTGTGTAATGAAATTGCCTAAGGACACATTTCTCATGCTAAGCAAAGAAAGTCAGTACTGCCTCTTACAAAGACTTTTTTTTTTTGGAATTTTTCTTACCTTAAAATGATTAAGTCAAGGCTTCAATGGATTAGTCAGAATAACAAGCATATAGCCATCACCAGAGAGGATGAGGTAGCTACTACTTACTTCTCACTTACTATACCCTCTCCTATGCTGTTCCTAGAAAATCTCATCAGGTAGTGGCCACCTCAGGGTCTTTGCAAGGGTTATTTCTTCTCTCCGGAACTCTTTGCTGACTTCTTCCCTTAGGGTACTCTCTGTTCAAATGCTACCCATTCAGGGAAGTCCTCCCAAGCATCTAAAATTGTCAGCTAAGATTTCCAGATAAGGAAAACCATTGAGAGAACTGAGCTGTACCCTAAATTGAGCAGCTCACCTGTATATACACTTGCATTTCCTTCCCAATGATTTGTTTTTCTCATTTGCTTTTTCATAGTCATAGATTAGATAACATATATCTACTTCCCTCTGTCACAGGGCTGGACTTTTGCTTTGTTTTCTGCTGTGTTCCAGGCCCTTGGACCTGTGCCCAGCAAAAGCAGGTTCTTGGTAAATGCTGAGGAATGTGTTGAGCCTCCTACCAGGGGCAGTGATGTTATCAGGTAGTGCACTTGCCTTTTTTTTTTTAAGATTTATTTTTATTTATTTATGCATACAAAAACTGAGGTGTAGGGTGAGAGGATTCACCAGAGACAGAGTGGTGAGCAAAATAGTTGGATCTACTGAAATACACTGCTGAGGAGAGCAGCGGGCAAGACAGGAGAGGTCTGCTGCGCCATGTGGGTCAGCTCCCTGGCGGGGGATGGAACTCATCAGCTTCATAGTGTTGAGACTTAACCCCTTGCACCACCAGGGAGGATGCACCTGCTTTCAGTGGTTCTGATTGGTCAGAAACATCCTGACATGGAGAAATTATTTCATCTTCTGCATTTTACATTCCTTCAAAAACAACAACTTACTATGAACCTTTTCAAACACAAAAAAGGAGGCAGCCTGGCATATGTTACCTTGGTATAATTGCTAGATATTTTACTTTTTTGTCTTTTATCCTAAAATAGTTTAAAGTAAATGTAGAGCTCAACAACATGAACCTCTAAATATTTCAATGAGCAGCTGTAAAAAAAAAAAAAGCACAATTTTCCCTGCAGAACTACAAAATCATTGTCATAACATATACTTTATGGCTGAAGTGTTCTAAGGTAGAGACATGATACTGTTTCACTCCCGAGTATCCCAGCAAACACCTAAAGGATAACATTTTCCCACATAATCATTATGTGGGAAATAAATAAAAATCCTACATAACCTAATAATAAGCCACATGCTTCCTATCTGGACAGCTTTTTTTTTTTTTTAGTTTACTTTTACATATTTTTGTGCATTTTTCCATCTCAGTTGCAATCCCCTTGGGTTTCCCATCACAAAATCACCCATGTGCCATCACCATAGCTATCTGGACAGCTTTTAATCCTAGCTTAAACAAGTTTCCTTGTTTAATTTAAGGTCCCATTGCAGGAAGAGAAAGAATGAAATTTGCACTCCAGGATCTGGGGGACCACAGTCACATGAGTCAGAGTCAGCCCCCCTACTCTGAGCAGACCCCACCCTGATAAAGGATGTTTTTGAAGAGAGGGGGTGACGTGGGAGAGAAGGGGGAAGCGCCCACGCATCTGGAGGTGACTCGCTCTTTCGAAAAATTTCTGGGAGGAGCCTGAGAGTCACAAAACTCTCTCATCAGGAGAAGTTAGACTGAGACGTGAAGAGAGTTTGCCACAGGAGCCGCAGACCGAAATGGGCCGCCTGGGGCTGTTGCTGGGGCCGCTGCCGCTGCTGTTGGTTCAGATCTGCGTTCCCGGTAGGGGTCGGGTGCCCGCGCCCTGCGCTGCAAAGTGGGTCTGATGTCGGTGGATGGGTCCAGGGTCCTCGGAGTTCGAGGTGTTGGAGGAGGGAGGCTCAGCCCCCAACACCCCAACATTTGACAACAGCCACAGTTCACAGGGAATGCTCTCTTTATTCCAGGGGCTCTTCTAGGCTCCTTCCCGGTAATTTGAAAATGGGCGGGTGTAACTGTTTTAACTCTGTTAAAACAGACGCAGCGCAGTTAAGTAACTGGTCAGAGGTCATACAACCAGTCCTTGAATGAGTGGGATTCTGAGCCCGCTGGGGCGTCCGCAGCGCCCTCCGCTCGGTTGATCCCTTTTGAAAGACAGGGAGGACAGCGCCTCATTTTACAAAAGTTCTAAAGAGAGTTGGACCGAGCGTCGTGGAGCCAGGGGCTGGGGACGCAGGGGCTCGAAGACACTTGCCTTTCGCTACCCCTTTGACGACGTGACTTTCTCAGTTCTGCTCCAGAGAAATTTTCAAGCTGGGAAAGAGTTAAAAAAAAAAAAATAGAGGGAACTAAGTCTGGGCGGGCTAGGAGCCGGGCGAGGGGTTGGGAAGTGGTTAGGCAATGCATAACCCGACAATGAATAACCCGGAAATTAACTCCCGGGATCGCTGGAGACCAAGAATGAGTGGACTCCCGAGGACTCGGAGTTTGTGTTGGGAAAGTGACCGCAGGACCGGCGGGAGAGCTGGGGGGCGGGGAGGGCCGTTCCAAGGGAAGGGCCGCCTGGTAGTTGCTATAACAACCCAGCCGCTGGGGGCGTGGCCAGGATCTAGCGGGCTGCTGCAGGGCTAGGAAAGGAAAGTCGGAGTATACCAGCGGACCTCGGGTTTGAGTCTCCTGAAGTCTGTTGGGCCCGGGTTAGAACTTCGGAATGACAGACGGGCGATAGGGGCACTGTTGGAGAGAGGCTAAAGACATGGTAAATCTGGAACGGGAGTGCATTCGTGGGGAATAGATGAAGGAAGCACCTGGAATGGGGCAGAACGGAAACATGGCTGGAGTCTGGTGAGGCTAGAGTCCCCTAGGAGAGCATTCAAGGCAGCATAGACCAGGACCCTCAGAGAACCTAACTAAAACTGGACTAGAAGTTTCTGCCCGACGTGGGCCAGAGGGGTGAGGGGGAGATTGGAATGCAGGGGCTAGGAGAGGTGTAAGGGGGAGGGGGATGAGACTTTCAGGATAGGACTTAAGTTAAAGGGAACCCTTCAAGGACAGAACTTTAAGGCAGGAACAGAACTAGAGACTAGAAGTTTCTCAGAACCCAGCGTTGGAACCCATGGGCTAGCAGGAAGTGGAGCAAGAACCTAATTGAACCTACGGTGTATATGGGGGGAGGGGGTAGAGGGAGATCCTCGTGCCGAGTTTAACAACCTCTCCTCCCCCTCCCTCCAGCCTCCAGGGGGCTGCGTTGCCTGCGGTGTGAGAGAAGCGGGTCCTGCCTAGAGGAAGAGTGTGCCTCTGACCAGGAGCTCTGCAGAACTACGGTCCTGCACCTATGGGAAGGTGAGCTAGCCCACTCCAGCTCCCCTGGGAACCTTATCACACTAATAATCAGGGAATTGCAAATGAAAAGATCAGAGATGCTGTGTCTTGCTCACCAGATGGGCAAGCTTTTGAAAATATGACAGTACCCTGGGAGGATATGAATGTGGAACTGCAGACCCTAACTGGTAGGGGGTTAAATTGGTGCACTGATGGCACAGAGCAATTTGGCAATATCTAGTCATCTAGTACAGGTGAAACTGAGTATCCCTACAGCCTGCATTTCATCTCCTAGGAATATAGAAACCCCAAAGAACCTTGGCCAAGTATGCCCAAGGTCATATGTGGCAAGGTCACATGTATAAGAATATTCTAAGCAGTAAAGTTTGTGCTATGGAAAATTGGACACAACCTGCAGCAGAGGAGACACATGACATAATCACATAATGCAATGCTCTGCAGTAGTTTAAATGAAGGATCTGGAACTGCAGGTATTAAAGTGGATACATCTCAGAAACATGACAGATAAAGGCATTTTGCAGAGTATGTTTTTTAATATGAAGAGTAAAATATATAAAACAATAATGTATAGTATTCTATATACATATTGTAGGAATTACCTGTCAGTGGTTACTCTCTGGACCTGAAATAAGGGGAACAGAATTTGGGGGTAGTGGCCAGGAGCCTTTAATTGTATCTTTTAAGTTTAGTTTCTTTTTTAAAGATTTATTTATTTATGCATACAGAACTGGGGTACAGGCCAGAGGCTCAGGGGTGATGAGAGGCTTCACCAGAGACAGAGTGGGGAACAGAACAGGCCAACTGACGAAGTACACTGCTGAGGGGAGCAGCGGCGGTCAGGAGAGGTCTGCCTCACCATGTGGATCACCTCCAGGGCAGGCGGGGCTCGAACTCATGCGGAAGTGGCTTTAGCTTCTTAGCGCTGTGCTTTAACCTGCTGAGCCACCAGGGAGGGCCCAAGTCTAGTTTCTTTTTAAAAATATTTTTTAAATATTTGAAACAAATATAGCAATCTTTTTAGAAAGTTGGGTAATGAATACATAGTATTTATATCATTCTCTTATAGTTTGTAGGTAAGCTTGATGATCTAATAATTTTTTAATATATTATTTATTTATGCATACAAGAACTTGAGGGGGAGGGGCAGGGTGGGGGGCAGAACAGACAACAGACTGAAATACACTGCTGAGGGGAGCAGCAGGCCAGACAGGAGAGGCCCTCCATGCCAAGTGAGTCATCTCCCTGGTGGGGTATGGAACTTACACTTCCTGTGGCTGTGGATAGCTTTATAGTGCTGTGCTTTAACCCTAACCTCTTGTGCCACTAGGAAGGGCCCTCTAATAGATGTTTTAAAATATCTATTAGAGGCATTTCTTTGCTGAGAACACTAAACTATGAGAGAAAGGCTGATGGTAATAGAAAGTCCCGTTGACAGTGTTGGCCCTAAGAAAGAGTAGACTCCCTGTGGGGAAGGGGTGGGTAGATAGCTCTAGGAAAGACAGAGTTGGACCCTTAGAGAAGATGCCTAACAGCAGTCAGCCCTGGGAGTGAATGACCACAAAGCAGAAAGTGTCTGAGTCTGGTTGTGCCCAGGGAAACCTCTGGAGTGATAAAGATACCTTCTTCACAGGTGAGGACAAGCTGGAGGTGGTAGAAAGAAGCTGTGCTCACCCAGAGAAGACCAACAGGACCATGAGCTATCGGATGGGGATGCAGATCATCACTCTTTCAGAGACTGTGTGTGGGTCAAACTTGTGTAACCGGCCAAACTCAGGTGAGTAGGGTAGCCCCTGCCATGCCTAACCCAAAACCATGGCTGACTCAACGTTGTGGTCATTTCAACCCTGTCCTCAATCCTACATCACTTCAACTCCAGCTCCATGTCTTATCCCAATATCAATGCAGCAACACAAATCCTTTCCCCAAGCACATCTCCAGTCCAGCCTGAAACCCATCTACAATTCAACCTCACATCCAGCCCCCTTCCCAACTACTGATACATTTACCCCCAACTCATAGTGACCCTTATTCCAAACATCTCTAAATTCAAACCATCACCATATCATTACAACTCACCCCCAGTCTCAACCACCCACTACAGATTCAAAACCCACCCTTAACTGAATCCCATCCTATATGTAAACTACACACACAAAAGTGGTGAGCTTCCTCATCTACTTCAGGATGAGGTATCTCAGCGATGTTCTGCCATTTCATTTTTCTATGGGTAGGAGATGGTTCAACAAGAGCTGCTAAGGGACCAAGATTTAAAAACAAACAAACAAACAAAAACAAAAAAACAAAAAACTAGAGAGAGATATTGAGCCTTGAAAGTTCTTAAGGGAAGAGAAAAGAGCATAAGCGAGTTGAGAATATCTCCAGGAATACTAGAACTTGACTTAGGCAGTAAAGAAAGGGATGTAAAGAAACTCTCATAAGCCTTTTGTGCAATTGCATGACTTTAGCATCTGGTCTGTTTAAGAACTTACTTTAAAAGGCTCAAATTCCCCAAAATTCTGACAGGAAAAGAAGAGGGAAGAAAGGAGTGTACCCATGTCACTCAGTCGTGCACAGATTCCTCTTTCTGGCCCTGTAAGAAAGGAAATGGTTAAGATCACTAGTCACAATGACGTCTGTAAGCAGAACATCGATGTATACACTATTTTTTCTTTTGTCTTGTTCTGCATCCACCCTGATTTTCAAACTGAATCAGGAATTTATGTTCAAGGAAGTGGTAAGAGAAAACACCAGCTTCCTATCTTGGTTACACCTGCTTAAAGAAATCACTAGTAATGAGCCTAAGTGTTGCTTCTAACCAGAAATAATGTTAAAAATATTTAACAATATTGGTCAGTGAAAGGGTATTGATCAAAAAGAGCAGACCCTTGGAGGGCCCCTATTGAATCTGGTATTACCCCTTTTCCTGATGGATCTCAGAACATGAAGATTTCTAGTGAGGAAGTTGAGAGCAGGCAGAGGGAGTACAGGGGCAGTGTCTGTCGCACAATAATTTCACAATGGATGTGCCTATATCAGGCCCACATCTAATGCCACTTTACCCTATTTGTGGTGACTAGATAGTTGTTAAACTACATCCTGTACTTATATGACACTGAGGACACAGCAGTGAAAGATAACCTTGGGGCTTGTCCCCCTGAGACATGCAGTTTAGTTTTTGGTGATGGAGCAATGGTAGATCCATCTCCAAGCAACAACTGCTCAGCTTATTTAGGGCTGGGGTAGGGGAAACAGAGGACAGAGAGGTTAGAATGGGATGAGTGAAGAGTAGGAGCCTTGGAGGAGACAGTCTGACTCAGATAAATGAACACTATCTAGAAGAAGCAACAGCTAAGCTGGGTTTTGAGGGATGAATAGGAGTTCTACTGTTTAAACAAAAGTGGAACGGGTTTTCCAGACAGAAGGACCAACAGATACAAAGATCCAGAGGTGGGCGAAAGTATGACTGGAGGAAGGAATAAACGGCCAGCCAAACCACTGAAATTAACAGGATCATATTATGCAAAGCCTTATAGATGACAGTGAGGAGTATAGACTTCATCCAGCTGTGTTTTAAGCAGAGTCTCATGATCTGACTGTATTTGACAAATTATTCTAACCTCAGAGTGTAAAGTAGATGGGTGAAAGGTAAATGAGGGAAGACCAGCTTGAAGGTGAGGGAGGTTGTTCAGATGAAGAAGAGGGCAGCAGCCCTGAAGATAGAGCTAAGTGGTAGATTAAAGTACTGTTTAGCAAGTAGCATGGTGATGGATTCAATGTGAGGGTTGGATTTGCAATGCTGGTCATGATGGAGTTACTTGTGTTAGCCAAACTCCCCTTCCAATGACAGCTATGAAAACTGGACAAATTATAAATGAATATTTGAAATCACTCACTAGAGAGCCGCGAATGAAGAGAGGAACTTGAGCACTGCAGTCTTTGAAATAAGGGAAACGCAAAAGTCTAGTTCCACAAAGACAACTGGCTTTTTTTTTTTTTTTTATCTCGAGTACACTTTCTAATTTACCATCGTGCAGGGAAAATAGAGACCAAGCAAAAAGAGTCTGTCACTAGACCAAGAACGTAGAGGGCACAAACTATGTCTGGGGTTGCCAGGGTGTCTGGAAAATGAAAGGTAAAATCTTAGAATGGATGGAACCACAGAAAAGGGAGTTCTTATATCTACAAATTTCCCTCAAGTCATTGGCAAGCTATACTTGCATAGAGTGAGATGCCAGAAAATGATAGCTGGGAAGCTATAGCACAGAGCAAGGATTCCAGCAGGCATGTGATGCCAAGGAGACTAAGGTTGCCAAGTTGGCAAGGCCCCTCAGGCTTTCCTCTGAGACCATACCCTTGGAGTAAGGGCAAAACTGAAATAAACCAGCTCTAAAAAAGCTTAAGTCTGATCCTCAACGGAAGAAAACCTAACTCTCTTTGGAAGGTGACAACATCATTTAGAGCCTTTACAAATGTTCACGTGTAATTCTGGTATCTGGTAAAAACTTAGGAGTTATCCTAAAGAAAATAAGGAGAACCAATTGACCAGAAACTGAGAGAAAAATCCCACAACAGAAATAGCCTCCTAATGATTCAGATACTGGCATTATTAGGGGAGGATCTTTAAAACAGCTATCATCAGTATATTCAAGATAATAGAGGAAGAAATACATTTTGGCAGAGATCTGGAATCCATTTTTAAAAAGAATAAAATAGGAAATACAGAACAATGACTGAAATTAAGAAATCAATGGACATACTTAATAGAGATCAGAAATAGGGAGAGCCAAAGGACTGAAAAACTAGAAGATAAGGCAGTAGAAGTGTCCAGATTGCTAATTGATGGTTAGATGTGAAGGATCCAGGAGTCTGCCAGTATTCTGCCCTGGGGGATGGGAGGTGGGATGAAGTCACTTAGAGATGTGGAATTCAGGAGGAGCAGGTCAGAGAAGAAAAGAAAGAATTTCGCTTGGGGAGTATAGAGATTCAGGTGTCTTGGGGAGTGTAGAGATTCAGGTGTCTTGGGGAGTGTAGAGATTCAGGTGTTGGAGGCCTAACCAGGGAACATCCAGGAAATTATGGGAATTAGAGGGGGGATTTGTGAGTGACCAGTGGATAGTTGGGAATGAAGCCCTGTCAGTGGAGAAGATTCCCTAGGAAGGAGTATGTGCCTTGAAAAAAGAAAAGGTCCTAAGACAGAACCATGAGGATCACCCACATTTAGAAGAATTCACAAAGGAGATTCATGAAGGGTGTGAGGGGAGCAGCTGTGTTAGCATGGCAGAAACACATGTTTGCATTTTCATGAAATTTCATGTAAGAAGATATGGGTGGTTGGCTTTTAATTATTTCATTTTTCGGTGGGGACAAAGGCTTTGGGTGTAAATTATTCATTAAATACAGATACCAGATTGCTATTTGAGTGCTGGGCTGAGACAGGCCTTCAAGACTTGGTCCACACTCAGTTTGGATATCTGGGTTCAGGAAAGTCAGGGCTTGCCACTTTGAGAAATATGTGAGCCATTTGTACCTCTGAGCAGAAGAAAAATGCTAGTCCATTTGAGCTGGATGGGGAGATCTGTGTGAAAGGCAAACTTATCACAGATAAATCATGTATGTCTTTGACCTCTGGCACTATTGGGTGGTGTATTAATGATGTCTTGCTGCATTACTGATTGCCCCAAAGCTTAAAACAAAAATAAATAAGTATATATCATTTCCACAAGGTTTCTAAAAGTCAAAAATCTAGGACTGGCTTAGGTAGGTGGCTATAGTTCTTTCATCTGGTCAAAATGGTGTCTGGCTGCAGACACTTGAAGTATCTCAACATTGCTTCTCATACAGACCTCTCCATGGGACTTCTTGAGTCTCCTTACAACATGGCAGCTGACTCCCTCCAGAGTAAGAGAGCCAGGAAGAAGTTGAAGTGTCTTTCAGGATCTGGACCAGAGGTCCCACAGCATCTTCACCAGCATTTTTAAACTATTGGTTACATTGTTTAGTTCTATTCTTTATGGAAAGGGTATGAATATTAGGAGGCAGTGATCATTGAAGACTCTTTTGGAGATTGTCATGGGGAACAACAGAAGGACTTTAAATAATTGTTCATTACTCATTCAACAAATAAATTTTTGGAGAGCTTCTCTGGCCCTAGTCCTGCATTGTCCAATACTGGAACAAATAGTGACTAAATAGTCCATGCTAAGGCTCAGAGCCCATTCTTAAATTTTTATTCTGAGTGCAATGGGGAATCATGGAGGGATTTTGAGCAGAAAAGGGATAAGGTCAGATCTGAATTCTAGAAACATCCTTTTAGGGCCATATGAGGATTCACATTTGGGGGTGAGGGAAAGAATGGAAACTGGGTGGCCTGGCATAAGCTGGTATTGAGGGTTGTCTGCACTGTATCTTATCATGGGACTGTATTGATGGGAATGGATTCTAGAAAGAATCACAATTGGCAGAGACTTGTGGTTGGCTGAGGGTGAAGTGAGCTCTCGAGGAAGATGATCTTTGATACTCTCTTCATGGAATCTTACCCTCCTGCTCCTCCTCCTCAAACAGTCTGGACTTCTTCTTTTCCCCGAAGTCGGTACCTTGAATGTGCTTCCTGCTCCTCATCAGACCTGAGTTGTGAAAGGGCCCGGGAACAGAGCCTACAATGCCGGAACCCTAAAGAGCAATGCCTGGAGGTAGTGACCCACCGGAGTCTGGAAGGTGAGACTAGAATTAACAATGACACCCAAATAATAAGGATTTAAGCAAGACAGAGTTAGTTCATTCACACCCGAAATTCCAGCAATAGGAAGCTCAGGGCCACAAGGACAGTTTCACAGTTTCAGTTGCCAGAAGCCCAGATGCTTTCTCATTTCTTCCATATTCATTCCATTCCCAAAATTGCATAATAGTCCAAGATGGCTGCCAGAGCTCTGGGCCTCATGCACAAGTTCCAGGAAGCAGAAAGGGGTAAATATAGGGGAAATAAGAGGTGTACGCCTCCTGTTGTAAAGGTTCTTTTCTCGGAGACTCATATAACATTTATATTTCTATTGTATTGGTCAGAACTTAGCCACATCACTATACCCAGGGAGACTAGAAAAATGTGTCGTTTGGTTAAATATATGGCTGCCTCAAATAAAGCTGAGGGTCCTATAATGAAGGGTGAAACAGAGAATAGATGGATAATGACTGTGGTGGGCAAATTTCAGCCCCTCATCAATCAGATTTATTCCTCTGCCTCCCCCACCATGAGTCCAGGGAGTCTAAGAGATGAACAGCACATCCGAGGCTGTGGTTACCTTCCTGGCTGCCCAGGCCCCACTGGCTTCCACAACAACCAGACCTTCCACTTCCTACGTTGCTGCAACACCACCAAATGCAATCGGGGCCCAGGTAAGGATCATGGCTTCCTGAGTGAGGCCTGGGATGGGGGCAGGGAGGGGTGTGCATGGAGGCAGACAGTCAGCCCCATGCTGGTAGGCAAATCCCTACTCTCTAGGTCTCCATATTCACTTCTGAAAAATGCAGGTATCAAGCCACTCTCCAAAGAAAAATTTTGCCTTCAATGAGACTTTTTGAAACCTACAGGAAGACCTTTGCTTTCTACTTCCTACATTCCCTGAATCTTTTCACTGCCCATCTCCACTGTCCCCACCCTGGTGGAAGTCCCGTGACCTCTCACCTAGATTGCTACAACCATCTCTTGGTTCTCCTGCCTCGACTGCTGCCACCCTAACCAGTGTTCAACAAGAGGGCTTTTTTTTTATGTAAATCATGTTACTGTCCTTCCTTTAGATTAAAATCCCTCTACAATAAACTCCAGAAGGCACCTGACTGCCTCCTGTTCTTCCTTTCATTTCTAAGGTTGTCAAACTCCATCCTGCCTTAGGCAGGACCCTCCCCCAAGAGATCACCTTGGCTAGCTACTTCTCATTCTCAACTTTAAAGGATTGTCTTCAGGACCTCCCTGGTGGAGCAGGGATTAACATCATCTCAACACTATGAAGCTATCAGCAGCCACTTAGCCATAGATCCCTGGTCAGGGCCAGGGAGCTGACCTACATGGTACTGCAGGCCTCTCCTGTCTCTCCCACTGCTTCTTTCCGCAGTGGATTTCAGTAGATCCACCTGTGATGCTCCCCACTCTGTTTCTGGTGAATCCTCTCACCCCTGCATTTCTGGTCTACACCCCAGTTCTTAAATGCATAAGTAAAGAAAAATAAATACATCAAGGATTGTCTTCAGGGAAACAATTTCCCTGTCCCTCTTCTCCCCTCCTTCCAATATAATCTAGATTCTTTGTGCTATTCTTATTCTGTCTCTACAAACTGGTACTGTCCAATAGAACTTTCCACAGTGATGTAAATGTTCTAGAAGTATTTGCACAGTGTCATAGGTTAGCCACTAACACTGTGGTGACTGAGCTTTTGAAATGTGCTCAACTGATTTTTATAACTCTACTTAGTATGAGTTCATTTCAATATAAATGAAAATAGCCACACATGGTCAGTGGCTTCCATATTGGGGAAAGTAGCACTAAACTGTACATTCTGTCAGGGTAGAAATGTTACAGGGCACCCCAATGTGAATTGGGTTGCCTGTCTGTGGTTCTTCACCCGTGCGCTTATGATTCATTTGTATTATGGACACACTCAAAAGGTTAAATAACGGATTTATTTATAAGGAGAAAGGTAAAGGAATAACCCAGGGAAAGAGGGAGAGGAACACAGGTTAACTAGGATGTCCTACTAGTTCTGCTGACTTGGACTCCACCGGCAAGCTGAAAACCGATTGAGCGCCAAAACAATCAGCTGCGAACCACCAGGTCCCCCCAGAGCCCACATGTCCGATTTTATCCCAACCTGGCTGCTCAGCTCCGCCCTCATGTCCCAGCGTGCTTCTTCTTGGCACTGATGGGATTTGGAATTCCAGCATCTGGAGTAGGGGCGGAGTCCATGAAACCTGTACCTGTTACAGAAACAGTTTGGTCTTACACAGCTGCTTTCCCAGTGCCTCTACAGATAGGGACTCACTGGGAGGTAGGAACTGGAATTTTTCTCACAGGTTCTAGAGAACGCCCCACCTCCACTCCCAGCCCCAACAGAAAGTGTAGTTTCAATGCTTGACCACAGCGGGGCTCCCTGACATCTCAAGCTGAGAATGGGGAGTTTGGAAAAGGGATGGTAGGAGAGGAAAGGGGACACCACTCCATCCCTCCACCACCCCCACCCCCAGGCTAATTTCTATGACCTATCACTTTTCTTCTCCCAAGTCGTGGAGCTTCAACACCTGCCACTGAATGACTTCCGGTGTTACAGCTGTGAGGGGAACAGCACCCATGGATGTTCCTTGGAAGAGAATTCCCTAATCAACTGCCGAGGCCCCATGAATCAATGCCTGGAAGCCACAGGCTCTGATGGTGAGGAATACTCAGGTGTGGGAAGGGTCTGCAACATGGTTTGTTTTTTTAAATTTTCTTTTATGCATGGAAGAACTGGGTTGTAGGCCAGAGGTGCTGGGGTGACAAGATTGACCAGAGATGGAGTGGAGAGCAGAACAGGTAGATCTGCTGAAATGCACTGCTGAGAGGCGCAACAGGCATGACAGAAGAGGTCTGCTGCACAATATGTGGATCAGCTCCCTGACCAGGGAGCAAACTCAGACCACAGCCTTGATAGCGTGAGAGCACTGAGACTTAACCTAGTTTAGCTGGATTTCATTGAGTTTCCTGTGGAAAAGTTACCTTCAGGGAACAGGCAACCAAACCAGAACAAATCTGAGAAATCTGTAGAATTGAGGCTACTAAAGGGGAAGGTAGTGTGGGAAGCAAATTATAGAAGGGCCTCAAGGGGCTATGCTGGAGGACAGTGGAGCACCTACCTTGGTGGTGGGTTTGTTGTGGTAATATACATCTGAAGAGGTATAAACGTATACATCTGAAGAGGTATAAACGTATACTTCTGAATCATGCGCAATGTTAGACCAACATTACCTCAATAAAACAGATTACACAAAATAAAAGAGAAAACTTTTGAAAATAAGATATCCTCCTGTAGGAGGGTACAGATGATTGTAAGGGATTAGAATTTGTACATTAGGAAATGGCCATAAACCTGTTGGGTTTTTTTGGAGGGGGGACTTCCTGTGGAAAGCACGGGGCTTTCATCCTGTGATGTCCTGGGAAGGTCTCTCTGTCCTAGTTCTCAAAATTTTTGGTTTCAAGATCCTATATCTATAGATATTTACTATATTAGAAATTAAAACTGAGAGCTTTTGTCAAATACATTTATTCATTCATCTTAAGCTAAGAAGAACTCATTACATGCAAACAGAATATATATATATATTTTAAAGATTTATTTATTTATGCATACAGAACTGGGGTATAGGCCAGAAGCACAGGTGCGGTGAGAGGACAGAGTGGGGAGTAGAACAGGCAGATCTGCGAAGTGCAGATCTGAGGGGAGCACTGCTGAGGGGAGCAGCGGGCGGATCAGAAGAGGTCTGCCCCGCCATGTGGTCACCTCCAGGGAGGGTATCGAACTCATGCTGAAGAGGCTTTAGCTTCTTAGGGCTGTGCTTTAACCCGCTGCGCTACCAGGGAGGGCCTGAACAGAACATATTTTTATGGAAAAATGACTATATTTTCCAAGTGAAAAAAATAAGTGACAAGATTGGTTTTGTTCTACCAATTTGCAAATCCCTTTGATGTCCTGCTTAGAAGACAGCTGGGTCCTCATAGCTGCTTCTGTTTTCAGTCTGTTGCAATAGTGTATGCCCTGGCGTTTCTGGGAAATTTCATAATATACTTATGAGAATAAAGAGGTCAAATGATGTTTTAGTATTATTGGGAGAATAATTTCAGCTTCAGTTTCCATGCAAGGATCTGAGGTACCCTCGGGGGTCCCTGCACTATACTTAGAACTGCTGCTTTCTTCAGGTGGTATGTCTCTTGGTGAAAATTCTAGTCCAAGAGCTGAGACTCACAATCTTCTTTCTCCTTCAGGCTACATAGTCCGAGGCTGTGCAACCCCCTCATGGTGCCAAGGCCTCCATGTGGCTGAAGCCTTCAGCTTGACTCATGTCAATGTCACCTGCTGTACTGGAAATAGCTGTAACCACCCAGTCAGGGATGCCCAACCCTGCAAAGGGGGTGCCCACCAGGCTGCCCCTGCCCACCTCAGCTTTACCTTCACCCTACTTATCATGGTCAGACTATGGGGAGGCACTGTCCTCTGGATCTGAACCCCCATTCATCCTACCCTGGCTGGATCCAGAGGACCCCTTTGACCTTCCTTCAGCTCCCAGTCATGCAGATTTGCTGTGTGGTCTTAGGCCAGTGTACCACCCTCTCTGGGCCTTGGTTTTCCCAGTTTGCAAACAACTATCTCACAGAATTTTGAGAACCAAAGGAAAAAAGCTGGAGAAAGTCTATAGGCCAGTGGGAGAGCTCTTATTGTTAATATTGTCGTTGCTGTTATTATTAATTAATATTTGTATTATTTAATATTTTATATATAAATAAAGTTTTGGGTTTTTTTTTTACCAGTGAACAAGGCCAAATCTGCCTTTCTTCATAGCATCTGTGTTTGGGAGGATAAATGGGGGACACTTTTCCACAGGTTCCTGGAATTATCTATGTCTGGGCTCCAAATGCAACATTCCAACTCAGCCACCTAAGCACTAACCTTGCAGTGTCTTCTCAAACTCCAGAGGTCAGGATATGTCTCTAAGGAGACATGTCTGCATTTCCAGGGGGGCTCTGAGACAGGAGATAAGCAGACTCTATTGATACACGTCCATGAGGAGTAAGGATGGGACTACATTTGCCCTGATGCTCTGGGGGCAAAAGATAAAAGCGGGGCTATTCCCTAAGCTGCCCTGGGACTGATTGAGAAAAGATAGTTCAATGTGTAATATGGACGAATTCATATTTCCACTTTCAAGGAGGCAACCCGCAAAGATAAAATTATAGACCTCTGGGGGCCTAGGGCTAATGGAAAAAAAAAAAAGAAAAAAGATATGGTGCTTGGAGGTAGCTGCGGGACAAGGTTTCTTCTTAGGATATCCGTAAATCTCCTGTCATCAACTCTCAACTGTGAGGGCTTAAAAGGGGCTAGGCCGTCACCTCCACTTGTGAGGGGCCAAGGGCGGAGGGTGACTTTGTGCTTTGACCAAAACAATATAGTGGAAATTACCCTATGTCATGTGTGGGTTCAGGCTTGAAGAAATTTCATTTAGGGAAGCTCACTGGCATGTGAAAATGTCCTGCTTTGAGTCTGCCATGCTCTGAAGAGCCCGGGAGACTATTGCCTGCATGGATGCTGCCTACGGAAGAAGCATTACCTCTGCCTAGCCACTTCAGCCCAGGTGCCAGCTGGATGAGCAAAGGAGCCATGTGGGCATTGCCATACCAAGGGCAATGGGATAACCAGCTCTTTTCAGTTCTCCTGCTGAAGTGACACCAAAGTTGCCTTTTACTAACAGAAATGTAACCTCACAGAGCGCTGGACACTAGAAGTCAAAAACCATGGTAGAGAAATGCTTCTCTGAGAAGAGAAGAACTTTCTCTGGCTTCTTTCTAGCTTCTGGGGGTTGCTGACAACTCGTGGCTTGCAACTGTATCACTCCAATCTCTGTCCCTGTTGTCCCATGGTCTTGTCCCTGTGAATGTGACTATGTGTTTCCAAATCTCTCTGGGACACCAGTTATTGGAAGTAGGGTCCATCCTAACCCAATACGACTTAATCACATCTGTGAAGATCTATTTCAAAATAAGGTCCCGTAGGTTCTGGGGGCTAGAAGTTCAACATATATTTTAGGGGGACACAGCCCAACCCACAATAGCAGTCAACAGCCCAAACCCAGGTCTCAGCTATACAGCCCCAAATGAACCATCCCATCTAGCTTCAGCTTAGTAGCAAGCCAGCCCGCTGCAGCCAGGCCATTGTGGAGCAGATATGTATGGATCCTGCTGTGCCTGCTCAGATTCCCCACCCGCAGAATCACCAAATGAAAAGGCTGAGCCTTGGGATATTTTAGGATAGATTGGGATATTTTGTTATGTATTTTTTTGGGTTATTTTGTTATGTATTTTTTGTATTGAAGCAGTTAACTGAAAACAGTCACTCATTTGTTGTTGCTGTTGTCTAAATCTCCTTACTATAATTTCTGTAAAGGTCAAAGCCCTTTATTTGCTTATTTCTTTACTTCTAGCACCTAAAATAGTGCCTGGGACATGTGATGAAGAAAGAAGGAAGGCAAGAGAGGTAGGCAGGAAAGAAAGAGCAGAAGAAGATAGGGATGGAGCAGGGGGATAGAAAGAAAGGAGGGAGGAAAGTAGGAAGGGTCAGAGAGAGGAAAAGAGGAAGAGTGTGGAAGGAAGGCAGGAGTGAGTAGGAGGGGGGAAGGGAGAGAGGAAAGGAGGGAGGAAGGGAGGGAGGAAGCAAAGATCACTTCTTTTGTGATGTCTTAACAACAAAGCCTGGTCTAGGATTGTTACAGGGCAGTGAGGGGGCACCCCTGAACCCTCAAACCTACCTACTCTAAATAGGTTTTGCTATCCACCACATCAAGACAAAACATATAAGACCTTTAATGGAAAGGAACTTTAATATAATTAGTGTGCAATACAGAAAAGACAAAGAATATAGTTTCTAAATCAAACACCCAAAGTTACCCATCCCCTCATGGGTAAAAGTCTACCCAAAAGGGGACTGGCCCAAAGCAAGGCCTGAAAGCCTGCCACAAATCTAAAGCACCTTCTGGCAGGGGCCCATAGAAAAGGGTCAGAAATGGCCAGACAAGTCTGGAAGGAAGGGCACAATCAAAATGTTTCAACTAGTGCAGAGCCAAGAAACAACCATTCACCTTTCTCTCTGCTCCATGTGCCTCCCTCAGGTTTTCTTTGGGTTCTTTATCCTGCTTCCTTCCTCTTCAGTCTCTTCTCCAGATTCTTCTCTTCTCTGCTCAGCTCCATATTTCTTTGGGTGGGGCAGGGAAACTGAAACCTCACCTTTTCCTGGGACCACCCTGTTACAGGATCCTATCACCATAATGCACTTTAGCAGAGAAGAGGCCATCTGAGATACCTGTTTTTGTTTATATATATATATATATATTTTTTTTTTTTAAAGATTTATTTATTTGTGCATACAGAACTGGGGTATAGGCCAGAGGTTCAGGAGCGGCGAGAGGCTTCACCAGAGACAGAGTGGGGAACAGAACAGGCAGATCGACGAAGTACACTGCTGAGGGGAGCAGCGGGCGGGTCAGGAGAGGTCTGCCACGCCATGTGGTCCCTTCCAGGGCAGGCGGGAATCGAACTCATGCGGAAGCGGCTTTAGATTCTCAGTGCTGTGCTTTAACCCGCGGCGCCACCAGGGAGGGCCCTGTTTTTATATTTTTTAAAGATTTATTTATGCATACAGAACTGAGGTACAGGCCAGAAGTGCAGGGCCAGTCAGAGGATTCACCAGAAACTGAGTAGGGAGCAGAACAGGTAGGTCGATGAAGTACACTACTGAGAAGACAGGAGATGTCTGCTGGGCCGTGTGTGTCACCTCCCCGTTGGAATCAAACTTGAGCTGAAGTGGCTGCAGCTAGCTTTGCAGTGTGATGCTTTAACCCACTGAGCCACCAGGGAGGGCCCTGTTTTTGTTTTTAAATCAAGGTAACATTGGCCTCTGTGTGATTTAGGGGAATACCTCCCCAGATGTATTTCACACACCCACCATCAAAGCACCCACAGTTCTTTACCACAGACCTTTAGGATACACTCCCTTCTTCTGTTCTCACTCCTGCCCTCTTCCCTCTAGTAGCCTCATTCTGTACCCTTATTTCTAGGGTTTGTTTTAGTTTAGTTTTCTCAGTTCCTTTGTTTTGCTTCTCCTATATTCAGTAGATTCCAGAAAATTAAATTGAGGTTCCTTTTACCTTTCCCACGATTCCTTCCAATAGAGAGTGGAGTCTAGAAATGCATTTACCACAATGCCCTATAGCAGAGATTGGAGGCTAGGGATACATTTTCCATGATGCCTTGCGGCAGGAATTAAGCTAGGACTGCATCTCCTGTGAGACCTCATGACAGAGGTTAGAGGCTAAGATTACATCTTCCAAGATGTCCTATGGCAGAGACTAAGGATACATTGCTCATAAATTGAAGCCTGGAATAAATGTCCTACACCAGCACTTGTGATCAAAGACCTCATCTTTAATGGATCCTAAGTTTGCATTCAGGGGTCTTGGTTACAAGAAATAAAATCTATTTAAGCTGACTGAAGCAAAAACTACAATGTTATTGGAGATTTAGAATGCAAGCGGGAGCTAGGTCTCTGGGTCTCAGTAGGGCCAGGAAACAGCTGAAAATCAAGAATATCTCTCTGGATGTAGAGCTTCCCTCGTGGTCTCCACTTTATGATTCTTTCCACAGACTGCCTTCTTCTACTTTATATGTTATAGCTAAATCTTCCCTTGAAATGTCATGTACCTGCAAGAACTATTGTGCCCCACTTCGAAAATTTTAGATGGTAAACTCTGATGGGGTCAGGGTTGGGTCATGGCTCTGACTATGACCCCCTCTGCTACTACCAGGAAAGTACACACCAAAGTCACTCTATACAGTTGTTCAGGTTGCTGACAGGCAACCAATGCTCTGGAAATGCTCAAGGCATATAGCCCACATGGCCAGTACTTTGAAAATAATCTGTATGAAAGATATGCTACATGAGGATTAGGGGTAATTTGAAAAAGAAAAACATCACTTAGAATGTTTAACCTGTATATAAGGCTCCCTCCATGTATATGTGAATCACAGGCAAAATGGTAGCCAATGTTGACTATACCAGGACTCCTAACTCAAAATGGTTGAAACAAAGAGAAGCTATCTCAGATACTGAGAGATCATGAGTTAAGGCAGTTGCTGGGTTCATTAATCCAAAAAGATCAAATCAAGCTTGTCTAACTCAAAATGGCTTCTGAAGACCCCAGACATCACACTACATTCCATCTTTCTGGGGCCTTTTTTTTTTTTTTTTAAAGATTTATTTATTTATTCATACAGAACTGGGGTACAGACCAGAGGCTCAGGGGCGGTGAGAGGCTTCACTAGAGACAGAGTGGGGAGCAGAAAAGGCAGATCAACGAAGTTCACTGCTGAGGGGAGCAGCGGACGGGTCAGGAGAGGTCTGCCACGCCATGTGGATCTCTTCCGGGGCAGGCGGGGATCGAACTCATGCGGAAGTGGCTTAGGCTTCTTAGTGCAGTGTTTTAAACCTTTAAAAAAAGGCTCTAGGGCCTTTTTTTAAAAAAAACAAAGAATCCAGTTGGTTTGGATTTGCTGTCACTTGCATGAAATCCCTCATGGATAAAATACCATGGAGTGGGATGGGGATAGGAGCACCATTCTCTTTCTAGAAGAAATGGGACTCAAAGAGGACAGAAAAGACCCAAATCAATATATCCCAGGGTTTCATGCAGCTGGAACAGGAGACATTGATTAGAACCATAATCAAGGGGACTTACAGTT